AAAATAGATGTCTAGTGTGAGTTCCCAGCTTTTATTTCTTCCCAGCAAAAAGCTGACTTTTAAAACTCCAAATAACGTTACCAGTACATGTGAAAGTTTCCTTCCTTTGGTAGATCTTGAAGCAGGTAGCATTAGTTTATGCCATAATGATGACATCAGGGTCCCATTCCCCATTAGATATCCCTTCTCTGCCTTCCCTTTCCCCACAATCTGATCATACCATCCATATACTTCCAGTGAGCTGTTGGGTTAGAAGTATTATAAATACAAAAGACAACGACCTATGTAGCAGAGACAGGAAATGTAGAGAACTGGGGGAGATTTCCCCGCAACTCTCAGCAACCTACAGTATGGTCAGCAAGCAACAAACCACCAAGTAGACTGCTACTAACTCTTGTGCATCCACTCAGTCCAAGCCTTGCTCTTTGCAAATATCTTTTAGGACTCAGGGATAAGAGAGCAAAACCTCTGCCCCAAGCCAAAATTCTAGACAGGAAGCCCAAAGAAGAAAATGCTGAACTTAGAAATGAGGTCTGATCCAGAAACCAAGTACACACATGCTTGAAACAGTGAACTTCATTTACCATAAGGAAGGGGAAACAAGAGGTTAAAAAGATGTTGTTGTTGTTAGTCGCGAAGTCGTGTCCGACCCATCGTGACCCCATGGACAACATTCCTCCAGGCCTTCCTGTCCTCCACCATCCCCCGGAGTCCCCTTAAGCTCACACCAACTGCTTCAGTGACTCCATCTAGCCACCTCATTCTCTGCTGTCCCCTTCTTCTTTTGCCACCTATTCTTCCTAGCATTAGGCTCTTCTCCAGGGAGTCCTTCCTTCTCATTAGGTGGCCAAAGTATTTGAGTTTCATCTTCAGTATCTGGCCTTCTAAAGAGCAGTCAGGGTTGATGTCCTCTAGGACTGACCAATTTGATCGCCTTGTGGTCCAAGGGACTCGAAGGAGTCTCCTGCAGCACCACAATTCAAAGGCCTCAATCCTTTGGTGCTCAGCCTTCCTTATGGTCCAGCTTTCACAGCCATACATTGCAACTGGGAAAACCATAGCCTTGACTATACACACTTTGTTGGAAGGGTGAAGTCTCTGCTTTTTAGTAAGCTGCCTAGATTTGCCATAGTTTTCCTCCCAAGGAGCAATCGTCTTTTAATTTCTTGGCTGCAGTCCCCGTCTGCAGTTATCTTGGAGCCCAGGAAAATAAAATCTATCACTACCTCCATTCCTTCCCCATCTATTTGCCAGGAAGTGAGAGGACCGGATGTCATGATCTTAGTTTTCTTAATGTTGAGTTTCAAGCCAACTTTAAAAAGATATACAAAACTAAAATAAGATAATCAAAAATCATTCTTTTTGGCAAGCTTTGGCAAGCCCAGGCCACCATTCCATAATTAAACAATTATGAAAACTGTTGAAATCATGCTGCAGCCGAAAATAATGAAATTCTGTTTAAAGCTGCCACTATGTCACCTGCAAGTCAGGTTTTCAATCAGTATCAGGCCTTAGACCAAATTCAAGCCAGGCTCATAGAAGAAAAAGCAGGGTTCTAACAGTATCCTTGTGAAGGCCAAGGGAAGAGTATGAGCTGAGCCTCCAAAGCCAATGACTGTCAAGCAGGAAACTTCTTCTGCTTCCAGTAGAAGAGGAGGAAGAGGAGAACTCTTTCTGCACCTAGCTGAATTCAGTCAGCTAACTTTGGGCAGGGACCAGCTCCAACCTTGAAGTCCTGGAGACTAGCAAAACACCTAAGATGCTAATGAGGACATGCCATTAGAAGAAGATTCCTGTTAAAATCAAAATCACAACCAAAACTGAATTGCATGGCAGCATTCAAATGACAAAAGGAAGGGACAGGCTCACCTAAGAGGTTACATGCCCCCCTGGCTCTGCCTTCCATGCCCATGGAAGTCTGAAGGGAAGAAACCTGCACAGGTGGGCAGTCTGGAATTCTGATTATGTACTGTCCAAATCACATGGAAGGACTTCTGGCAGATGTATTTTGGCCCCCAAGGATACATTTTTGTCTCAAAAGTAAAGTATCTGATAAAACAGGTTTCACTAGTTTCTAGCTCTCATTGGCACCTGTTTTGTCATCCTGGTGACCATTAATATTGCCCCCCGAAAAGCATGAGGTGCCATTTATTTTACCCATAGAACTTCAGAGTGAGGGCAAGATAAATTATCCCTACTTCAGACATTGCTACCTGGTGTTGTCATGAAGCCAAATGCATGAGGGCAACAATTTGCACTCTTCTTCTGGAGGTTTGTGGTTCAACATAAAATGGCAGTTACGAATAGCTGACATCATACTTGTTGCCTGGGATATGTTTGATCCATATTTTGCCCTCCTTCATGCCCAGCTCGCCAAAACACCAAAGTACCATCTCAAACTTCACATTTTGCAAGCAGGATCACAAATGGGAAGGGCTTTTTGATTCAGCACAACTTACAAGCTGTTTCTATCATATTGTGAAGACATTTCCTTAAAGGACAATAGCACTAAAAAGCAATGGGCAGTTCCCCATATCCCAACACAACTTTGGAACCTTTTGAAAGCTGCGCTAGTGGAAAGCTCAAGACAATTGCATGAGGCAGCACTACCTTTAGGCATATTGAAGCAGCTGTTTCAGGCAGGACATTTTGGGAGGAAAGGAATTGTAAACATGCTGAGAGAGCAGAGCTGGCCTATATCCTCTAAGCTACTCTGCTGCCTTTAGGGGTGGTAGAGGGTGCCATCCCATGGCACAGTGGAAGTAAGAGCCCATTGCCAGTCTGTTCGGTACGTGGAGTAGGAGAGGGCTGCAATCTTGTCTGTCACTTGCAGCAGCAAAACGCCTGGGGCCAGCCCTGCATAACTGCAAAGTCACAGTAATAAGTACTCTTTTAAAAGGTTTGAATCAGCAGAAAGGAAACAATATCCTGTTTTAATTACTAATCAAGTAAAGAACTTGACAAGGGGGTATGAAAACAATATCTAGTTCAGAGAGTAATTAGACGGTCTCATAAACATAAGTCACTTGGTTAGCTAGAAGAATTCTCTTTCCTGCATGTTCTGCAGAATCTACAGACTGTTAAACAGAGTCTAGATAGTCCCTTGTATCTTATCTTTGCTTTGATGGCAGAATGGGCACCATTTATCTGGCATAGCTGGGCAAAGTAGTTTTATATCAAGGCCTGGCCTCCAGCAAATTCACCCTTTCAAATGCTTTCCATAGAAAATGGCAAGCTATTTTTCACCACCATCATTCTGCCACAATGCACAAGGTCATCCATTAATGGAAATACTTATTGACACTTCCACTGGTTTCCTGAATCAGGATCCAACTGAAATTGATTTAAGTCACTGGAGAATACATTGGCCACTGTGCTGCCTTTTCATTCCACTGCACTTGCTTCAAAGAAAAATAAGGCTATTGCTTTCCTTTTGGGTCTTGCAGTGTTTTTCAGCTAGGAGGCAAACTGACCCATTTTTATGGCCTCTTGCTGAAGTAAAAAGCTAGGAGTAGTGGGATATATAAAGAAACAAACTATAGACATCAGCCTAAAGCTTCCTTTCTTGTAATCACTGAATTAAGTCCTGTCCATAGTCATGCTACTTATGCAAATCTCACTGATGGAGATCCTATTGCAATCCACAAAAGTTACCAGCTATCAGTAATTTAATTTTCCTGTAGAGCTACCCTGCAGCACTGTGGCACAATCAGGGCATATAAATGTTATAAACAAACAAAGGCAGTGTGAAATGGAAAAGGGTTTCATAAACCCTTTTAGTTTATGAAAGTTTGGACAGGATTCTTACTTGCCACAGGCAACCAAGTTGGTTGCTGTGTAAATGCTTGCCTTCTTTTCCTTTTAAAGAACTTGACCACAATTTAGGACATTTTGAGGACTGACCTAATAATAACAACGAATTTGTTCTTACAGCAGAATTGACTAAAGTAAAATCACAACCTCTTGATGCAGGACCAAAGCAGACATGAAGTTAAATGCGTTGATGCTTTGAATGAGTTTTGTTTTCAGTTTTTGTATGTTTTACTTTTAAGATAACAGCTGCAGAGTTGGGCTACATGATTGGGATCAGTGAGGCAGGGGGAATGACCCTTTCCCACCACACCATGAGAGCCAACTGCTAATAATCCTGGGAACTATTACCTCTTCCATTGATTCCAAGGGGAGCTTTCTTCCTGTGCCAAACATCAGCTTCTTTCCATTAAGACACCTTGATATTCCCCATATGTGTTGCACTACAAGTCCCAGTATCCCTAGCCAGTCATGATGTTCTGTTTTGATCCTCAGCCAGTTTCTGTGGCATTCCCTAATGTGCCTGCCACCCCAATGCTTTTTTAAAGAACTCATAGTGCATTTTTAAAGTACTATCATCCATCAGTAGCTATTTTTCTCGGTAGAAAGATTACTTCAAGTCAATGCATTGTCAGAAGAGTTTATGCAAAATGGCAAACAAAGATAATTAGCTTTTGCTTTAAAAAAAGGAGAAACAAACAACAACGGAAGATAAAGAACAAATTTTACCAGGCACTGCTGCTTCACAACATCTATTAATTTCAGCAAGATTTGCATAGGAATTCTACACAAGCATCATTAAAATAAATAGAGGAAGAACTGCATGTACCCTGAAATAGTGAGGGCTGTAACTAGTCTGAAAGTAGCACTGTGCTTTGGAACCATTGTGCTAGGTTGCCATTTTTAATTTTAGCTCTAAATATAATTATTCTTTCTGTAGTGGGATATAAAGAAAAACCTGTAAGACACGAAAAACCTGAAAAGAGAGAAAAACCTGAAAAAAGAACAAAAACAGAAAAACCTGAAAAGACGGAGAAGAAAGAAAAAGCCATAGGTAATTTTTTTCATGACTTCTGCAAAGACCAACGCAAAGTACTAACTCACATAATAACCACCAGGGATACAGAGAAATGCTTTTCCCCATGATTAATTCTTTTTGAGAATATAAATGTGCTGCTTAACTTTGCTCATCACTCTTGTTTCCCCAAAGGCCAGATAATTAGTTTTTTTCTTAACCCATTTGATAGGGAAAACATTGCTTTCAAAAAATATTAAAAGGAGAAGAAATTTTTAGATAAATTCTCATGGGTTTAGTTTGGGTTACTTGTGCTTACATTACATAGGAGATGGTTGAGGAGTGTGCACAAGTATTCTGTCTTTCATTGTGCGATCAACTTTCTATCAGCTTGTTGTCTCTTTGGCTCCCCACGCTTCCGTTAAAGCCCAAGGGAACACAATGGGTACATCCTTCCATAGGGCTTTTTCAGATCAGGAAGTACAGAAACCTGGAAGGCTGTGGAACTACTTGAAAGATGTATAATGGAAAGAAAATGCACACATCCTGGTTACCTCACAGGGTTGAACTAAGCTCAAGATACCACCAAATAGACCCATAGAATAAGACAGAACAACTGAAGCCTCTTTCATGGGGAAGAAAACTTTCAGGAAATTAGAGGACAAATTTTGGCTCAGCATTCGCTCCTCCTCTTCCCTGGAGCAAGATACAAAATTATTCTGCTCACACCTGCATTATGGTAGATGCAAACTAGAAACTAACCTGCCTGCATGGATGATGCCATTGCCAGTTGCAGTGGCAACAAGAACATCACTTCAAAATCCCTTAGAAAGAAGTTGTGGTACAACCCTTACCAATGGGGAGCTACTTGTGAGATTCCAGTCTTGTGTGCTGGAAGTGTAATGAGGACAGAGTAGTTGGAAAATACTGGAAGATGGAAAACTAGTGAAAGTGGAAGCTGGTGAATTCAGCTAGGAGAAACGTGTCACTGAGGTAGGGACAGAAAAATGGAAGGGATAAGAGAAGGAATTGATCGAATTAAGCCCCTGCTGTGGAGGTGTGAATTAGGGTTGGGAGATGTGCACAGTAGGAGCTTAAAAAATCAATCCTATATGGAGCAGTTTCAAAAGGAAGGTATGTGAAAAGTATACCTTTTCTACTTCCCACTTGTCAGTTCCTCTGTTCCCGTATATCAATGAAGTATTCAGGCTGGAGCTCTCATTCAGGCCTTAACCGGATCAGTCGAACACTATTTGGACTGCAGCAGAATGTTTCTTAAAGGCAGGCTATCAAAAAAGGCATCCTCTTTCCTCAGTCCTCCTGAGACTTCCCTGTACCATGCAAGCTTCTAAGAGTGCAAGGAGGCTCCTGATCATGGTGACGCGCTAGTCTGTCTTCAGGTCCTCACTTCTGTGGATGACTGTTCCTCAGATTCAGCTTTTATCTTCCTGGAAAGATCAGTGTCCATCTGGAGGGGGGGAGGGAGGGAGGGAGGACAGACGGACTAAGCTCCACTAGTTTCAGATTTTAAAATGCATGTATGCAAAGCCCCAAAAAAGTATCTGATTAGTTTCAAGCTTTTGAAATTTGGGGAAGGGCAGTGAGGTGAAAAGAAATGGAACATTGGTTTTAATTAAATAAGATAATGAGCCGGCGTGGTTGCAGCGGAGGCAGTAGATAGAAAAAGACTAATTAATTTAGTGATTGCTGAATTGTTTGTAGATAGTGTTATGCTAAATGTTAACTACTTTATTCTTTAGGGATTTGATTAACAAATCACAGGTTTTCAATGTGTAAGCAATACAATGTCAATCATATTTTTAGACACATGCGCATACGACATCATAAGAAAGGCAATCATTGTGTTTGCATTTGGAAAGATTCATATCTGTTTGGCCAAAGGCACGTTGCACAAGAATGTTCCCTGCGTGAATCCTTTTGGAATGAATGGGAATTGTGGCAGCATGAGAGGTGAATTGATTTCTCAGTTTTGGAGCTCCATCTGGAGCCTGGAAACAGTAGTGATGTTCTTCCCATGGTTCTTGCAATGACTCGTGGGAAATGAGAATTTTCTTTGCCACATGACTCTGGCAAAGAGACTTGAAATTAAAATATTCAATAATGTATTGACAACTTTTGGTAAGATGGGATATAAACCTGAAAAACAAACAATATGGTGAGTTGCCCAGCCACTGTTACTAACAGGTTTAATGGAAATCATGGGTTGCACCTTATAGCCATTTTGGGCTACAGCCATTGTTGTCCAAGTGGATTTCTCCCCAGCCTGTGCTCTTTGCTGATGCTCTCTGGGTAACCAAAATTCTGCTCTGGGGAGGTTCTCAGAGTTCAGGAAAGATGGGGATTCCATTCCATTGACAGATGTTGTTCTGTCAGTGGACAGGCACAATTGAATTTCACCCATTACGATTATTTCATGAAATTGCCATGAAAACAGCCATTGCTTGCCCAGGGAAAAATCCACTTGTGTGCTACTTCCAGGGTTGATGGATGATAATAAAAACTAATTATATTCTACTTGCCTGCAAAGAAAATGACTCACTTAAGGCAAGTGGACATATGGTATTTGTGGGAGCACTTATGGTCATTTTTCATTTTAGTTTATTGAATTTAAAGTTTCCTTGTGGCGTAATCCCATTTCAGTATTTGCAGTGGCCAATTGGGGTTAAGGGTCATACCCTGCAGGAAACAGAATTATCGACCGAAAAAGTTGCTCATGTCTAAAATAACTTCCACTGATAAACCGGGCTTTGAAAGGGTTGGCAATCACCATAATCACATGGTGTGTGTGAGTGTGTGTGTGTGTTTCTCTCTGTGTGTGTCACAGCCATGCCATCATCCATAATTATGTTTTGATGATTTCAAAAAGCATGAAAAATTCTATTTGATAAATGCTTGTTCTGAACTCAGGAAGAAGGCACAGCTGACCACAAGGAGCTCTTATTGTTGAATTCCCACAACTTAGCTATTTGACAGGGAAGAGGAAGCAGGTTAGATTGTCTCAGTATCCTCATCCTCTTCTTGAACAATTCATTGATGAGATCTGGGCCTTTTTAAGCAGCTATGTTGGATGAGAAAGGAATCAGAAGTTCATCACCTGTTTGCATGTAAAATGCATTCCTAGCTTGGGCCGAGCTGGTGGAAATCTGTGTAGTTTTTAGTGATAGCAATGCATAATATTTGTGCACATTCTTAAAAGTCAATCTTCATAAGGATTTACTTCTAAATCATAAGTCTTGAGCTATAAGGGAAATATCTATTTTTACCTTTGGTTTAACAGCATTTCACACTGAAGGTAGAACTATCCACAGATTATGTCAGAAGAAAAATGTGTTCATTTCAGAATAAGGCTGTTTTGCAAGAGGAGCTATTTCATCTGTCAATCAAACAACATTTTTTACCACTCCAAAATATACAATTATCAAGGCAGTTTACAAACAACTAAAAATAGAGCAAAACCTGCAGTAAGATAAACAAAATACAGATAAACAAAATACAATAGTGACAAATGTACTTGGAATTCCTGTTGAAATAAAGTGGCACTTCATTTCCGAGGAAATAGCCTCATATTTAGAATATGAGACCAATAAAAATATAAATATATGAATATTTCTTTTGCTCCTTTACCAAATACTTTCATTACTTTCATACAGCTGTTACAGCTATTCTATGGCTGGTGTTTTGAATGCAAGCCATGCTCTTTTCCATCCAATTTAGTCATAGAAGCTCCTTAGCCCCAGGACAGGTTGCAGGTTTTTGAGAAGAAGGAACCATCTTCCAAAGAGTGGGATGTTCCAGAGAGAGCACAGAACCAAGCAATTTCCTTGGATGAAAAAAAAAATCACAGAAAATATAGGGTCTCTTTGTAGTATTCTTCACACACACACACACACACACACACACACACACACAGAGAGAGAGAGAGAGAGAGAGAGAGAGAGAGAGAGAGAGAGAGAGAGAAGACAGCTTCAGCTTCAGATCTTGCATCTTGCCTTCCAAAAGCCAGTTCACCCCAAAGATGCTTCTACCAACTTCAAAGCCTTTTTGTTTCTTCATTCCAACTACAAGTTGCTTTAGATTGTTCCTCTGTCCCTTTCCCCTAGATGGAGGGGATGTCACCTTCTCCTGCCCCTGATGGATAGCACATTCCAGAAGTTGGAGAGAGAATTTCAGTTGTAAAGAGAATGGTGTATTAACTCCCATTGATACAACACCATTTGCCTGGGCCTCTTGAATCCTGGGCAGCCCATCTGAAAGAGGATGAGTGGGTGTATGATTTGAGGTGCTCTGAAACCACTTATGATTGCACGGCACACATTTCTTCTTCTTCTCTAGGCATTTTACCTGCAGGAAGCACGGGGGCATGGATTTCTAGGCATTTTACCTGCAGTAAGCACGGGGGCATACATGTAGAATCCTCTACATGTATGAAGAGCTTTGGGCTTGACAGAATTCAGTGCAGCAGTTCAGAGGATATTAAGCTGGATGTGGGGGTTTTTGATTTGGCATGATCCGAACTTTATTGCGGGGTGCACATCACCAATTCTTATTTCTTTTCTATTTATTTCTCTATCATTGGCATGAGTGCACCAGCTGTACAGACACAAAAAGCTTTGGTCTGGACACAGCTGAAAGCCTTCCAATGCAGGATACTTTCCTGGATGTATAGGCCTTTTTTAACCCTTGTCAGAAGACACGAGTACGTCGTGTTTTCCCTCCATGTTCTTTGTGCATTGACTGCTTTCCCGGTTCTTCTGTTTCCCTCTACCTCCTGCTGTAAATAATAGGAGAGTAAACAAGAAAGGAAATCAGCAGGGACAGTGGATTTCATTTTGATGAGAGAGAGAGAGAGAGAGAGAGAGAGAGAGAGAGAGAGAGAGAGAGAGGGAGAGAGGGAGAGAGGGAGAGGTTGTTGCCAGGATGAGGGAGCTGACAGGTGCAAGATAGAAAGGGAATTCCCAACTGAAAGGCCTTGTACTGATTTTTGACATTCATGGTTGCTACAGAAGTACGGAGATTTCCTTCATTAGGCCAATGCAGGCATTTGCCTGTGCAGTGTGTTGACAAGGAGGAACAAGGTGTGTGTGTGCGTACATCTGCATCTCACTTCCCAAACATACGCACACTTGAGACTACTTTATAGACCTTCATGCATTGAGCACATAAATTCAGCATAGCTACCAAGTGATGGTACACCAGCCGCAACCACATATATACTCCAGCTCAGGAAATGTGTAAAATATATAAGAAGGCACGTGCATAAAGTGTACTGAAGTGTACACATGAATGGTCACAGACAATCTCTAAATGCAAAATAACCTTGCATGTGTCCTATTTAACTGTATTATAATATTACATTTATACCCAACCATTTCTCCAAAGAATTCAAGAGATCATGTAAAGTTTCCCTGGCTTTTATTTTCACAACAAGGCTTCTTGCTTTGGAGAACTGAGTCTGTGTCTTTCTATAATGGCTGGGAAATTACAAGAGTTCCAATCTACCACATCTGGATGACACCAGATTGGGGAAGGCTGTCCTAACCTTTAGCTCTGACTCTCCAGTTGGTATTTCCATTGATGCCAAAGAAACCATCTTCTTTTGCTTTTTGCTGTACACTTTCCCTGTTTGTTTGTTTCTTTGTTTTACTAAGAACTGTGTTATTAATATTCTTTTTCAGTACCTCCCAGGGAGAAAACTGCAAGGCAAGAAAAGCCCAAAAAGAAAGTGCCTCCTTCCCCCAAAGGTAATGATAATTGTTCAGTTTACTGCAGAAATGTATCTACTGTGGCATATGGAGAGCTACATAGTCCCATTTCAGGCAGCAGATCTGAGATGCTCTAAAAACTGAAAATGGAAGCCAATGAGCTCTGATTCACGCCCCACAATTCAATAAAGATTTCCACAGCCCAAGATGTTGCTGAATTGCTAAATTCCAAGGTAGAACATCTTAGTGGATTGTGTTCTCTGTTAAGTAGCATGTGAGGTGCCCGCCATTTTGGCTTTTCTGCTCCAGGTACCCAAATAGATTATTGAGACCTTAATGGTTTATTTTAATTTGTGTTGTGTTTTGTTGAAGAGCCATTACCCCTTCATTACACACATTTATCTGAGATAATTGAATGTTCTGCAGCAATTTGAAGTATATCAAATTGATTGTGCAACAAGTTTTCCAGGACTGATACCCATTTTAGCTAGATGTTTGTCATTTGTCTATAGTTTATAGACAATTTTTCCTCCCTCATTAATACATTAACATATCCACTTGGTAGAGAACTTCACCTTAGGGAGTATGGACCTGTACAAAACTCTCCATCCTGAGTTTTCTAGTAAAGTTGTGTACTGAATCAGAGGCAGTTTTTCTTCTTTTTATCCTTCTGTCATGGATTGCAGGCCATGTGTTTGTAACAAAGCCATTTACCTGTGTATCAGAGGTGTCTGTTTGTTTGTTTTTGCTTTACTGAAGATCAAGATAGTTCTGAGCTGCTTTACTGACTTTCAGGCCATCTAAAAATAAACATTCATTTGGTCCCTTTTGTTTACTGCACAAACCTTTTTATTCCAGCAAATTATGTGTATTTCTCTCACTGACAGTTTCATTTTTCTTCTACAAAAAGTCATTGAAAGATGCCTAGATATGATGCTCAAATCTTGAAATTACCACACATGTTCGAGGGTACAAGGCTGAGAAGAGTGCTGCTAATCTTTTGACTGGCATTCTATTTTTAAACATACTTTAAGTAGTAGAGAAAAAAATCTATATGTTTCTCACCCTTCTCATTTTCTTCAGGCTATCTTTCATGTATTAAAGTTTTTAATGGCTAAATTCCTTTGGCCTCTTTAAAAGATTCTTCCTCATTGTTCAAACAGCTGTTGACAAATGACAACGTTTTTATTTTTATTTATTTACATTTTTAAAGACCGTCACAATAGCCACTGTGGCTTCTTCTACTTCGTAAACAGTTGTCCCACTCACACTTCCCTGGAAGTAAATCCCCTTGAACTAAGACTCATTATATAACATTATTCTCTTAATGTTAATTTTAAAAACACAACATGGGTCTCAGGAAAAAAATCACTAAAAAAAATCCCTTCTCCATGAAATTTATATAAAATGTGTCTCTACAAACGTGAAATTATACCTGCAAATGTTAAAGTCCAGTCTCAGAACTCTTCAGATGTAGTGCTGCCAATTTAAGGCTGAAGTCCTACGTACACCTGCCCAGGTGTAGTTCTACTGAATTTAATGGGAGTTACTTCTGAGTAGCCATAAGGAAGGTGGCACTGTATGACATTTATATGATATTTTTCCTGCATTCTGTCTGGTGTACTAATATACCATATCTAAAACATTATAGAACGGCCATGTATAGCCTGCATAATTAATAAGAAGAGCTGCCAACAGGCAGATTAACCACCCAATTCTCATTAAACTGAAGCCTGTACAAAAAAGGAGCTGGAGAAGAATAGTTTTGACTTCAGCAGGCCATAACCTCAGCCCAGGGGCATTAAAGATGCTGCCATTGGGTCCTAATGTTCCAACTTGGCAAAGTGGAAATAGCAGAACTACTGTGCATAGCATGGGGACTGATACCAAGAGAGGTGAGACTTAAAAGGTTCCAAACCACACATGCTTTGAAGATAAACACAAGCATCTTCAACTGGGCTTGGATGTTATCAGGCAATCACTGCAACTGATTGCATATGCTTCCACTTCCCAGTATTCATCAGGAGATGATTTTGTGCCTGTTTCTGTTTTTGACCATGTGCAAAGTCACCATTTTAGTCAAAGGGTTCCAAGTCAACACGAGTGCTAATCTAAATTATGTGGTATTTGCATAAGGGAATCTCCTAGCATAACCCATGTTTTCCTGGGGAATTCTATTGTGGCAGCTAGCATGACTAGCATCATGTAAGAGGTCATTTATGTGACTGAAACATAATTTTCATTAGCACTCATATTGACTTGGATAATGCCCATGGACTACATTAAGGTAAAGCAATTCCAGTGGTGGCCAAAGGTAAGTTTTGTAGGTCCTGGCTTTTCCCAGAGACAGAAAACTCATCCCAAGCTGACTTTACGATGCATAATTCTCTGCCTGTCCAATAAACTTGAACTGAATGATTGAACCTTATAGGCATTTTGAACCAAAGACCCATTGGGATAACACCTAAAAGAACCAAAATTCTATCTGCATTTGAAAGCCACTAAGAACAGTAAATATGTCCTATTCTCTGATATTGTTAGGTAGAAGTATGATAAAAGGGTGCCATTAGTCATTCAGATCTGATTTCTGTAGCATATAGCCTAATGGTAACTAGCCATACAAATGCTTTGATAAGACATCACAAAGGAGGATTCAAAGGAAACTGTCGTGCATTTCATTGTCAGTTTTTTAAAGTTCTCTATATTGTATAAGGGATTGCCAAACCAGTGTTAAAGTCCGTAATAAGTCTTGCATAAAACTAATTGATCTGTAGAACCTCTTCAAAAGAAAAGAAAAAAAAATCAATGTTAACATTCCACAGTTGGGGACACTCAGTCTATGTCAAGTCTTTTTTCCCCTAAACTAATTAATATTTATGGTTTTAATATGTTCAGTAAAATAAAGACATTTTTTTTAAATTTAAGGAACAGAAAAGGTGAAACCTGAACGGCAAGAAAAACCTGAAAAAAAAATTGCTCCTAAAGGTATTTCTTTTTCTTATTCAATAATATTTTCTAAGTGATTGTTGTGAATAATTAACATTCTTTGGGAAATTTTTTTTGTGGGGGGGAGGGCAATAATATGCTGGCTGGAAATGATGAAGGCTGTCTTTCATACAACTGGAAGAAGCCTTGCTGGGAAAGTCTGAGCAAGGATTTAGTATTCACATGAGAAATCTCACTTTTATATTGACATATGTTTCTTAAATTGCATGGAGAAAGTGGAAATGTTGGTTATGTATATGTGGTCTTTGTTTTAGTGAATTGTTTCTGAGGAGACCTATAGGGTTTTTTTAAACAAATTTTAATGGAAGTAAGTTTACAAATGATGTCTCAGTTCAAGGGGATTGACATCCAGGTAAGTGTGAGTAGTACTGCAGTTTAACAGGAGAAGCTCAGCCCTTTATTTCAGCAGGTGTTTGAACAATGACGATACTATTTATAGAGATAAAATGAATTTTCTTTTATGTGTAATTCTTCTACAGTTGTATTTTCTTTAATTATAGATTTGCTATTATTGCTGATGACTGTTAATTATAATTATGAGACTGCCCTTGAGTGCCTTCACATCAAGGTATTCATGCAAAACATGAAATACTTGGTTTTTTTTAAATTAATATAATATTATTTTTACTGTTTTAAAAATAACATACAGAAAAGAAGAGCATCAAAATTGAAGAAAGGGTTAAAAAGGACGTGAAAGAAAAGAAACCAGACATGAAAGCACCCGAAAGGACAAAGCGCAAGGAAACCAAAGCAGAGGGTGTTGTGTCAATGAAAGCCAAAGTGAAAACCAAGGAGGAGACATCTCTGATGGCTGCAGAAAAATCTGATAAGAAAGGTAACCCATAACAAGAGTCAGAAGCTAAGGATCTTTGAAGTGCAGGGTGAAATACACTCAGACAATAAAGTTAAAAATGATCCAGATACCCCTTTTCAAAGACTTAAATCTTACATGTGAGAATGAAAATAATGTTAAGGATACATCCCTATTTGATTTTTTGTGCACTAAAACAAAAATGAAACAAAATGCCTGAGAAGGCTGATGTGATGCTCTCCTGGCTAACGATTCATTTTGCAATCCAAATGTTTCTTGGATTCTTCCAGTGTAAGAATGAAAAAGAATTGAAAAGGCTTAATTTTTTATCTCGGCTGAGAGGAGTTGTCTATCTATGGAACAGTCCACATTTTAAGTATCTTAGTCTGTTTGTCAGCTTGGTCCTCTTGAAACTTTTCACTGGTGTGAACTGTGGAGATTTTGTCATGAACAAGAGAGAGAAGGAAACTTTACAGTTTGAAAACATGCAATTTTTCACTTGTGCCTCCTTTTCTTATAAGCTACAATTAGGGAGCAGGGACAAACAACATGGTTGCATGAGAGCTTTTGTGATATCATCAAGCAGTAAACCTGTCTTTACTATTCTTGCCAACAAGTGTGTCCCTGGTGTGTTTCCCTGGTGTGTGTGTGAGTGTGTGTTGGTGTGAATGAATTACACTAGTGGGTAGTGAGAAGCTGTAAAGTCCAATGAAAGAGGGAGTCCCAGCTCAAACTTATATTGTTATAAGTTTGAGCTTATAATATAACTTATTTATATTGTTAATTTATATTGTTCTATTTTGAAGTTTATTTATGGTTGTGAGCCACCCCGAGGCTTCGGCGAATGGGGCGGCATAGAAGTATCCTAAATAAATAAACTCGGATCTTACTTCATGGGCAAGATTTATTTATTTATCTTCTCTGCCCTCCACAGAGCTCAAGGTAGTGTATGTTTATTTTCAGAACTACCCTGGGAATTGGTACCTTGCCTAGAATTACTGGATGAATAACTTCAGATCACTCTAGCAGAGAGAGAGAGAGAGAGAGAGAGAGAGAGAGAGAGAGAGAGAGAGAGAGAGAGAGAGAGATTTTGACTCAAAGTCAACCAGTGAGCTCCATGGCTGAGTTGGGGACTTAAAATGTCCCAAATTCCAGTTTCCCTCACCATGACACCACATTGATGTATCATTTTTCAGACATTTTAAACTCAACATGCAAGTTGATGGAGTGCTAAGTTTCTCCATGCAAATGAGTGTGGAGTGTGGAAATTGTCTTGCCAGGAAGTTCTGAGTGGGTAACATAATTGGATCAGTACTTTGCTGGCACTTGAGAGGTGTAGGAGATTTTAGAATGGGACTCCAAAACCAGCTTCACCCCCACTTTTTGAGCCTGCAATATTTACAATAGACTACATTGCTGGGCTACTGCAAACTATGTTCTATCAGCACAGTAGCCCGACTTGCAATAGGGATATAACTGTGAACCACATTGCAGGCTTCTTGTATAATAGTCCCTCACCTAAATGTGGAGATATAAGGAATAGATAACAGAATTAGAGATTACTCTCACTGTTATTTGCAAGGGGTTGAATCTCTCTGGACAACTCTGCAAAGTTGTTATAAACCACTCCAAGCCGTACCTGCACTATTCAGGGCAACCTACCTGGTAGGGCTTTCTTAAGCCCCTTCCAACCTGCATTATCTGGACAACGAGCAGCATTTGCATTCCAGAGGGTTTTTTAAAAAAATGTTTCATATTAAAGAGCTGAATTAGGAAGTTTTTCACTTTTCTGCTGCCTTTCTGGGAAGGAGGGCATTTGTGAAATATAGAATACTGATGTCCAATACAGGCTACATTAAGTTCTTGAATACATCACTTTATGGGCATCCCTGGGAACATTTAGAAACAGCTTAACAGTGTGAAGCAGAAAGGGACCTTTCCAGACAATGACATGGTTACCTCTGAATGTGTATATTTACATGTCTCCTATTCTTCTGCATGTGGTTAGAGGAAGAAAAGGGGTCAGGGTGAACAGAGCAAAGAAAAGCAAAGGAAGAGATGCTAAGATGCAAGCGCTGACCTCTCTCTCTCTCCTCCTCAGACCATCTGTGAGGCTTGACTTACCTCTCAGCTGGCCTCTCCTATCAGCTGATCAGTGGCATTTCCATGCATGTTCAATCTCTGACGATAGGTGGCCCTGTGAGTCCTTTTCACCCTACCCCTAACTAGCCCATTCTATTCCACCTCCCCTGATTCTTCCCCCCAACCAATGAATTTCTGTTAAGGGTCCCACCCTTAAATTCTTCTGTTCTGTTCCAACTCCTGTGGGTGTTTGGTTTCCTTTCCCAACAGTCAGCCAGCTGGCATTCCATATCTACTAAGTTCTACTAAGTATACTCAATCCTCACTGAGCTTTTTGCAGTCCCCCTCCCTTAGTTTCCTGCCCCCAGATATTTTGCTGTGCTCTTGCAAATCTTGGGGTTCACCTAAGCCTGCTGATGCCTCTTTCCTGTGCATGAGTGATGCCATTTTGATTAGAGAAGCATTCGCACTTGGAGAATACATGTGTACAGGAGGAATATATTTTCACTGATTGACAATGCTTTGAAGATACCACATCGCTCTCAGTTGGGGCTGCCTGCATCTTTAAAAAAATAACTTTTTTATCTTTATAGAGAGGGATTCTGGCTATGCTGTGAGTTACAAGTTATAGTTTTTATGTCAATGTGGACTGAAAAATAATTGCTCAAACAAACAAACAAATAAATAAAAGAAGATGACATGTATAGTCAGGTCCTTCAGTCCTGAATTTTCCATTGCTTAGATATATCTCTGCATGAGGACTTGGGGAAAGATAACAGATATGCATTTGAATAAAATTTATTCAGAACACATCAAAATTGCTTTGACTTGTTTCTGTTCATATGACATACGAGCTACGTACTACACAAAGTACCAGGAGGTGTCAGGATTTGGGATTCTGTGGAACTGGAATCCACACATTTCAGTTCCAAGTTCCTTCATATGATTTAATCGCACCATGAGCATTTTTTTCAATAAACTGTGCATGCATAATATGAACCTTTAGCCATGGCAAGTTAGAAAATATTTTGTTCATATTTAAAATCTTCTGTACCCTCTATGGTTTCAAATCCAGAGATACCATGTTATAGCCCATAGCCTTATTGTCTCACCACATTCTCCTCCCTTAGGGTAGCATTATGTCTACTTGTTAGATATTTCATGTAGAAATTTGAGGGCATGGGTACAAATGGACGGTATCCTCCAACTCTCATCCATCAGGAAGTGGTCACTGGTCTAACTGAAGGCATATAGTTAGGGTTAATGATGTCAGATTGTATGGATCTAACAGTCTCTGCAATAGCCAGACATGCATGTAAAAACCAGGAAGACAGGGACCTCCATTGAGTTCTGTAGCAATCCTTGTTTGTACAGGGACTAGTTTCGCCCTATGATGGGTCACACCAAACATGGATAACAAACATTGTGTGCTTCTTTAGGATTCTTGTTCAAATAAGATCTAAATTTTAAATATTCCTTCCTTCTTTCATTATATTTTTATTTGTCCCCCACTTTTCTATCTCTATCAAGATATGCACATATACAAGGCAAGCTATAAATATAAGCAAAACATATTAATAAAAGCACAATAAATCAATATCCAAACATAACAAGGCATGACAATGCTTCCCAGAGTGCTGTAAGCATCAGTTGCTTGTCTGGTTGCTTCTCTAGAGAGAGTAAGTCTAGCTGGACCAAACTCTGAGGTGTCCTTCACATGACCTCCCCTCCCTCATCCTTGGTCTTTTCCAAATGACAGTTGAAGCGGATTGGGTGCTGGGGGAGGGTTTTTTTAACTGAAAGCTTTTTGAGTAGTTAAAAATGAAAACAATATGAAGAAAATTAATTCAAAAGTGTTGATTCATTGCCTCAACTTAAAATAAAACCTAGTTTCCTTTCAATAAATGTGGGAACATTTTTAGTATATTAAATAAAAGAAGATGCATTAAATTTGACCTGGGGCTAACTATCTGGTAAGTTGCCAGTTATTTTTCCCAGTGACCTCCATGTCATTTGAATTGTGCCTTTAAAAAAAAAAAAAAAACCAGTAGATAAAAACTTTGGAGCATCTGTCCTAAAACAATAAGAGTTCTGGGATTGTACATATAGAATGTTTCTAGAAAACAATACAGGATGCAAGATGTCCAGTACTTCAGTAGCATAATTTTAATTTGTTTTAAGGTACAATTCTATGCTTGTTTAGACAGAAAGAAAATGTACAATTCCTAGAATTCCTCATGCATGAGATGGCACTGATAATGTGGCTTTCATGGGATATATGCAAATTCCATTAAAAAAATGAAAAGATGCTGTGCAACCCTTGGTTCCTCTAGTTGTTTGGTATTTTAGAAATTCTTAAGTACCTAGGAGACTAAGTGTCTGGACTTATATATTTTAAAAATCTGCAATTTAACTTCAGTGAAAAAGAAAATAATGTTTGTAGAGCTTGTTCTAGCAGAAAAATGCTGATGTAAAATAGGCTTTTCTCTTTAGGGATGCGTGAGAAATACAAGCTCTGTAAGTTCAGATGTTAACTGATCTAACCCACATTTCACAGACTAACAGGTGGATTGGACCATCATGAAAGTGAAAGCTATGCTGAAATGACTGGTGTAAACTCTGCTGACAGTCAAAGGGCCTTTGCTGATTCCAAAACTGTCACCTATCACTGCTAAATAAACGAAGCAGACCATTGGCAGTAGCTTACATTGGGTCCACTGATGTGAGAGTAAAATGCATTAAGACCCAGGGTAGGAGGGCAGGCAGGCAGGCAGGGAGGGAGAGTGACTGTCTGTCTGAAATGAGCAATTTCATCCTAGTGCAAATGTATCCCACCACCTCTGTGTTTGTAATCACATGAGCCCAGAGTGTAATCCTAACTCACCTACCAAGTAGTAAGCCCCATTGAAAGAATGACCTCTGAGTAGTCATCTAAAGAATTCCACTGTATAGGTTCCTTCTCAATTTTCATTTAATACATGAAAATACATACTTATTTATGAATATATGTACATTTGACAAAGTAAAAATGTCCATTTGCCCAGCTGAATGTATTTGCTTGTGTTTTCTTTTTGTTCGTTTGTTTTTTTAAGAACATTTATACATTGCCTTTCTGTTAATATGGCCACTTACATTGTTCAGCCCAGCAAATGTACCCTCAGGTCACATGTATTGAACAAATTTGTTTAAATTTGAACATGCATAATGGGTATAAGAAAGTATCTTTTAAATTTCAGAAGCAGCCCACAGAATGTCACTGCCGAGTCCATAATGCTTTCTACACATTTGCCCATTTATTCACTTATAGTTAGTGCTTTTTACACTGTTTTTCTATCCAAACTTGTGTACAATAACATACAGCCTTAAAATGCAATAGAATGTCTTGCTTGTGACATTCTTGCGACATATTAAGTTTTTCTTGAAAAGGGTGGAGGGTGAGATCCTGTTGAAAAAGACATTGCCTTAGAATTAAAGGATCTTTCGGAGTTTGAATTTGTTTTGACTACTAGAAGCAGGGGGAGCCTGTACTCTCTCCATGCAAAAATTAATGCCTGGATACCCAAGGCGTATTTAATTTCAGCAACACAGTGTTAGGCAGGGGTGTGAAGCTCTTTTGCTGCTCTGGTTAGGCAGCTTAGACTTGGAAAGATTGCAGTCAACTACTGCAAACCAGTCAGATCCAGGCCTGCCTTGCACCCATCCCTGCTTTAGCTGCATCCCCATAGTGGTGCTTCCAACTGAATGAGCGGCAGTGTCTGTATAGGCGAGATTCATGGATATCGGCCTGAAACAGCCTTCCCAAATCGATGCCATTCTAGGGCCACACGGACTAGGGATGATGGGAGATTTAAGCCCAGCAAATCTTGCAGGACATCAGATTTGGGAAGACAGGTCTAGAGCAATGGATCTACAGTTAGACTCTGGTTGTATTTGAGCCACGCCTCTGAAGTTTGGGGCTGGCATTTGCATGTGCTTGGAGACCCCCAGCCATGATGGGTTCCCATCATTGCACAGAAAGCCAGGAGGCATTTCATATGGTAGGTTTTATTAAAGAAAAGAAGGGAAGAAAAGCAAAAGTATAGAAACAGGAATTTCCCAAGCTGTTTGGTTATTGATCGCTTTACACAAGAGACGAAAAACTGTCAAAGGTTTCATTTTAGTACGAAGCGCTCTCTTACACTTTCTCTTCCTGGTACTTGATTTTAAAAAGACCTCTAACTGTGTCTTATTACTCTCTTTTCCCCTTTCTGTTCTGCTAGATCAATATGCATTCTGTCGCTATATGATTGACATGTTTGCACACGGGGATTTCTATACAGGTACTTGAACTGAGCTTGATCACTGAACTTTTCTGTTTCTCTCAGAGCTTTCTGCTTTGTTGTGCTCTTGGAATGTGTGTGCTCTTTTTATTGGTTAAACACTGAAGTGAAGCGTGTGCAAATGGAGTTTAAATAAAGCGTATCAACTAATGGCTGTACCATGAAAGCTTCTAATGCTCCTTTCTAAAATTGCATGCATTTTGGTTAATGACAATAAACATTGGGAAGATTAAACCATTCTTATCAGTAATCAATAGGGATATATCTATTCTGTTTTGTTTGTGTTTATGCCCTAAAAAGAATTAAATATATACAATAAGAAGTGCTTTAAACTTCTTTATATTATCTTCAGATTGTAAAGAAAATGAAAAGGACTGCCCAAGTGACTAAGAGACTCACAATCTAAGGGAAGAAAGTTTACATTTGGGGCTTTTTAGCTTTAAAAAAAAAAGGATGAGTAAGGAGCGCATAATATGAGTATATAAAATCAGGCACAGGGAGACAAATTACACTAGAATCAGGAATTGTCCAGTGATGCTGAGTGGTGCAGATACAGCAGATAAAAGAAAGTACTTCACACAACACACAGTCAAACTGTGGAATTTGCTACCAAAAGATACAGTGATAGCCACAAGCATGGATGGATTTAAAGGGAGAATTAGAGAAATTTGTGAAGGATAAGACTATCAATAGCTATTTGTCATATATTATTATATATTAGCTCCAACGTCAGAGGCAACATACTTCTAAATAATAGTGTCTGAGGAATGCCAGTAGGAGATTGCCCCTGTGCCTTTTTCAAAGGCATCTGATTGGCCACCCTAGCCCTAGCCTCTGATTGGCCAGTGTAGGAACTGCATGAGTCTCTACATTCTAGAGATATCACTGGTTGGATCCAACAGGGCTTTGACTTACCTTCCTGAATAAGGCCCCCCAAGGCCACCTCACATTGCATGCCATAAAAGTCCACATGAAACAAATCTACAAAAGCAAACAATAAATCAGATATGCTGTTCAGTGCATTAAAATATATTCATTATATATTACCAGTCAAGGCTAAAATAGATGTGACTTCAAAGGTGTATGTAGCAGCTACATCTTTTCTGGGGTTCAGGGGACAGAACTGGGTTGGGGCCTCTGTACTTATTCTAGTCTAAAAATGAAAGGCACACATGTAAAGTAAAGCCTCAGACTTGACTTGTCAATGTTTGTTGTTTAAAAGGATTAGCATGCTGGAATGTTCAGTGCAGAAAAAGTTTTATATTGACCAAGGTTATCAAGTGAAAACAGAACTCTTTAAGGCCAAAGGAGATGGGATGATTGGCCTGTCGTTTGCCCTTGCAATGCTGAGCTTCATTAATTAAAGCTGGTGTATATGCATATTTACATGGGAAGGCAACAGACCAGTATCTTGGTGTGGTCATGGGAGTGTTAACTCCTGCCCTGCTGTGGTCCATGTTAGAATCATCCCATCTCCCATCCATGTGTAATGGCTTTAATTACTCCTATCACAAATCACAGGGTACGAGGGGTTAAAATTCTGCTTGGGACTGTGGAGGGGGAAAAGGTTAGAAGTCACCCAGACCCTACATCAGTGATATAGTGGGACCAGAGACACCAACATGATAATGGGGAAGAAAGAAGCTGCCTTGCTATTGTCTATGTAAAGCATGAAGGATTTGTTTGGTACCGCACTGATGGCTTAAGGCATGCTTGCAGCTGAAGAAGGTATGCCTGTTCACTAAATACGGTCTGGGAAATGGATTAATAATGCAATATTCATCAGAAATTATGTATTAACTTGCAGATGCATAAAGCATGTTATTACTTCAGATTTGCTATATAATTTGCTATACGGTGTAAGACACATTCCTTGGGCTGCAAGGGGCATAGACTGTTCATCCCATCGATTTCAGCTTGTGGTAGAACTGGCAGAAAGCTGGAAAGCCTAAAGTTACACTACTAGGGGCACAATCCTATGTCTGTTTAGTTTCCAGTATGCCTTGGCTAGCATGGCTAGTTAGAGCATTCTGGGAATTGTAGGGCTTTTTCCTCTCTAAACAGGCTTGTGTTTGCATCTTACATTTTAGCAGAATTTGAATATATTGTTCCAGCTATGTGGAACCCATGTACTACTCCCTGTGCTGTTCTGGTAGATTCCTCCATAACTTTTTCCTACTTTGTTTTTCAAAGCAAGCATTCATGAATATTTTCTGAGTTGTGTCACCTTGATAGATCAAATGAGCAAATATATTACATCCATGCAATGGACCTTTCAAACATACATAGCTGCAAGTAGGTAAGGTTTTCTAATATTTGACTTGTTTTATATTCCCCTCCACAGATAAAAGTACAAAACAACAAATCTATATACTAGAAATAAATTATATAATAAAATATAATGAAGCACAATACATTGACAAATGCAGAAAATGCCATACAATATACCACATCAGCCAAGCCTAAACAGATTATTTGAAAAATGCCTAAACAAAAAGCTCATTTATCATTTTAATTATAAGTTCAGCACTGATAGAACTCCCTTGGTGAAAGCCATAAGTGAACCAAGTATCTTTCACTTAATTCCAAAATGTTAATAATAATCATGGCTTCCAGTGGATCAAAACCTTTTCATGGCCCCTGTGCAATCACACAGCTGGAACTGCACATACCGCAGTTTGCTACTCAGAACTTTCTAGATCTCTACCAGGGGAATAAGTGTCCCTGTCCTTGTATTCAGCAGATATGTTTACTATCCATGTGCTAAGAGCTTATGGTAGGACTACAGTCTTTTTGGCAGAATGTCTTCTCCTATCGACTTTGAATTGCGAAGATGTTGTTAATCTCTGCTTTATGGCAACCCTATGATGAAAGCTCTGCAAAATGCTCTAGTCATGGCAGCCCTGCTCAACTCCTCTAAATAATCAAGGCTGCATCTTTTTTGACAGAGTGAAACCATCTCATACTTGGCCTTCCTTCTCTTTTGCCTTTGACTTTCCCTAGCATGACTGTCTTCTCCAGTGAGTCTTGACTTCGCATAATGTATCAGAAGCATGACAGCCTCAGTTTTGTCTTTTTTTGTTTCTAGGGAAGTATTGGCTTGATGTTATCTAGGACCCACTTGTCTTTACAAAATGCCTAGTTCTGCAGGATACCTGAGAAGGTTGAAGGCAGAAGCAATGTACCATTTTATCCATACATGAGGCTCCTTTAGTGATTCCTGTCTTGAATGTTCTACTTCTCCATTAAAACCTAAGGGAAAGGTGGGGAACTAGTGACACTGGTTGTGGAATACAACTCCAATAATTCCTGACCATCAATCATGTTGATTGGTGCTGTTGATTTGTAGTCAGAGAAACCTCTGGAAGGCCACAGGTTCCTACTCTTGCCCTAAAGCTCACTTTCAGCTTCAAGATATTTGCACTTGGCTCAGTGTAATACTTCAGCACGAGTGAAACTTATTCTTCTGGAAATACAAAACTACTTTTACCTGGTTTATGGACCTTTGGAGCCTGCCAGTAAGAACAATCCTTTATCTTGTTGATTGGGTCCAATATGTGCCAACTGAGTGGAATGGAATCATTTCCTTGATCTGAACTTTGAGAAAACCAGTAACTGTTTGGCTGAGGAGACCCTAAATTCCTTGGAGATATTGGCATGAAAGAAGTCCCTGCCATATGATCCCTTTCCCCATTTCTCATGCCCACCATAATGATGTAAAAGCTATATACTTAAGAGAACTCCTTGGTTCTTGCTTTTATCAACTTGGGGCTTAGAAGTTGTAGTGTATATCACACAAGAGAAGCTGGGAATATCGGGCATAATTTTTTTTCTGAACACTGACAAGATTTTTCACCACAAGCATATTCTATATCTATACCTGTTCAGTTCAAAATCAAAGATGCAAGGCCTGTGCCAGGAAATAAACATTGTTCTCAGTTTCCTGTAGCTGCCTGTGAGAAGATTATGTCATATCAAGTGGAAGAGATTTACTCTGCAGAGCTAGATGGAATGGACTGTCCATCTGGAGGTATTTTAATTTTTATTACCTGATCTATTCAGTGAAGCCCTATAAATACTTAAACATCCTTCCATAGCTAAGTGTGGAACACCCAGGAACAGCCAACGCACATCCAGCCACCCACCAGTCTATCAATGGAGTTTGTCTCTCTCTTCAAGCACTTCTAAGCTCTCTTCTTGAGCTTAGAATCAGCCCCCACTGCAGATCATAGCAACAAGGAGTTCGGTGAGAAGAGTCTTTAAGACACTTCTTCCAGTTCTGAGAAAACCAGTCCTAATACCTAGTCTGGGCTAAGTATATAACATCCTGAGTCAACACATTGTCTTTCTGAGTTTCTCCTACATCCTTCAAAGGGCGCAGAGATACTTTTTAGTTGTCAGAAAAGCACTCTTTTCCTATCACCACAGAACTAAAGAATAGCTAAATTCACCAACTTATTTATCACTGGAGGAAAGGCAGTAGAAAGAAGGATATTCTAGTACCATCTCAGAGACCATCAAACTGAACTACAGAGTCTGACACCTTTTCTTACCACGTACCCTTATCCTTCCTGATTCCCTTCCAAGAAAAGGAGTCCAGTGCTAGATATGCACAATATACCTCTTGTACCATTTTTGTGAGGTAGTAAGGATGAGAAGGTATTTTCTCCCCGTTTCTTTGTGAAGAGAGATCCATATTCCTGTCTAGGTAAGGAAATGTGCTTCTGGTATGCTTCTATCTGAGATGACATAAAAGCAGCAGAGAAGGATTTCTATCTGAAATGTCATAAAATGTGCTTCTGGTATGCTTCTATCTGAGATGACATAAAAGCAGCAGAGAAGGATTGTGTTCCTAATGTAACTGTTCTTTGCATCTGACTTTGCATCAGCTCAACCCAAAAAGAGCTCTCAAGGTAATTTACAATTTAAAATGTTAAAACAATGTTAGAAATGTTTAAATTTTAAGACAACATAACATAGCATATTCAGAACAGGAGAAA